TTGTCATTGGCAGAGTGACACTGGACCAGCTGAGCTCAGGGCAGGCCATGGGTGAACCCCAAGATGGGAGCCTCCTCCTGCCTAGCCCGAGGGTGCCTGGCTGGGAACCTGGTGTGGGAGCGGGCAGGAAAACCCAGAGATTCCACCTGGAGCTCCTGATCCGCTCACCTGGGTTCCCCTGAGAATGTGCCTCTCTGACCCAGTGGAGGTGGAACTGTTACTGCAGGCACCTTCCGGGGAGCAGGGGGCCTGGGCACCCCTGTAGCCCAGGTGGGTGCTGGCTGTGGTAGGGCCGGGGTGTGACAGACAGGTCACGGGACTGGACAGGCTGGTTTAGGGCTGTGTCTGGGTGTGGGTGTGGATGGGGCCCAAGGGCTGCAGGCGGAGCGAGGAGGGGCCCCAAGGATCAGGAATCATAGTCCCCCCCAGTGTGCTTTCATACCCTCGCTCGCTTGCCCTTCACACCCAGCGATCATTCTGCCCGCAACGTGACTGACATGGTGGCCGTCTGACTCCCCGTGGTTCTTCCTACCAGGGCTCTGCCGTACCCATCTGAGGTCGCCAAGCTCCTGGCGCGTCCCTGGTGCTGTTGCTGCCGCGCACTGCGGAACACCAGGCTCTGCGGGCGGAGGCGGACATCATGGGCCTGGGTCTCAGCCCGGCTCTGACTCCTACGGCCTTGTTCCCGGGGCGTTGGTGAGCCCACCTGTGGAACAGGGACCACACCAGCTCGTGGAAGGTGACAGTGGCCCCTGGGACTGGCCAGCCCTTCATTGTGAGGCCTTTGGGAGTGGAGGTTGTGGCCACCGAACAGCTCTTATGGTGTCTGCTGGATGAAGCCGTCGTGGTTAGTGCTGTGGACCCAGGAAAGAGCTTCCTGATTCTCCTCTGGAGACTTGGGCAGTGGCCGGCCCCTGTGCCCTGGCCCTTTGCCAGCTAAGTGTAGCTGTGAGCTCCTTGAGCCCCTCTGTGGCAGAGGCGGGGGGGGAGGAACTCAGGAGGCCTCCCATCCACTTCCTGGCCAGCAGATAAAAGCCCGCTCATGACCCAGTGCTGTGCTCCAGCTGCAACATCCAGCCGGTGTTACTAGCCATGGGTGTGGACAGCCTCGGAGAGAGGGGAACTTCGGGGCAAGGCAAGCGGGTGTCCTTGGAAGGCAGGCAGAGGCCCCTGGAGATGGAGTGTTTGCATGTGTGCACATGCCAGGGGTATCGTGCAAAGGTCAGGCCCCGTTCTGACCTGGGCCCTCCAGGCTTGTGTTGGGCCGGCTTGGTTTGGGAAGGGAAAGTAGCAGAGGCTCAGACTCAGGCTGTGCACTAGCCACTGAGCAGCCACAGTTGCCTTCTGTCTCGGCCTGGCCCCTGCCCACTTGTGCAGGGGCTGCGTGGCCAGGAGCAGATGACAGCTGGAAAAGGGTCCTGGGAAGGAGGCCGTGCTTCAAGCAAGGTGAGTCAGTGGCAACCTCAGAGCCTTACCTGTGAAGGGGCGGGGCTGTAGAATGTCTCCCCCTTGCTGGGGGCCGTGTGTGGAGCTGTGTGTCAGGAACCTGGAGAACAGCCGAGCATTTTGTGCTTTCAGAGCACTTTTGAGCGTGGGTTCCTCCACGCCCTGGACTTGGGCAGGGCTGGCATGCTTGGCTGGTGAGGAAGCCGGCCTGTGGAAGCCCCAGGGAGAGGAGCTGGGACTTCTGGAGTGCCCGCTCTATGCCAGGCATTTTGCCAGGGTGCACAGTTGGTCTTCCCCCCTCCCTGTGAAGGAGGGGCTGCTCTGACCCCTCTGGCAGTCAGGCAGGGGGAGTCCTCCGGAGGCTGAGGATCCCCTGTGATCCTGCAGCAGGGGACACTGCCAAGTTCCAGGCCAGGGCTGCTGGGTCTTCAGCCCGGGCACTTTCCACTTTGTTGCGCTATTTCCCTGGTTTGTTGTCCCTTTTTCGGAGGGCGGAAGGGGGCTCTGTCCTGCCAGATCTCCGTATGGGGCGCTGTGAGCCCCTGCAGGTAGAGGCAGCTGTGCACTCCATCACAGCTGCCATTTTATAAGAATGGCACTTGGGGGCAGGCGTTTCACCAAAACCTTCACATCCGTTATGTTGTTCAAGCTCTACAGCAGCAGGAATTCTTTTTTCCGGGTGGTAGGTGAAGCCTCCTCCAGATGCTTGGAGGAGTTGGGCAAGTGTCCTAGGTCACATCCATCCAGGTCACATGCAGGGTTCCTGCTCAGTCTGTCTCCTGCAGGTCCATCCTCTTGGCCCCTGGGTTTGGTGTTTGGACCTTGCCTGCCCTGGTTCCAGGCGTCCCCAAGAGCCCACCACCCTCCAGCAGCCACAGGAGGAGCCCAAGTTAGCATAACAGAAGCCACTGGGTAGAAAGGAGGAGGCCTAAGTCCAGGCTGGAAGATGACACACTTCTCCATCAGGGGTGTGTCCCGTGAGTTGGCGTGGACACTGACTCCCTCCCGGGTGGTGAGTGGCCAAGGCTGTCCCCATGTCTGCTCAGGGCCTGTGGTGCCTGGAGGTGGCCCCTGTGGTACAGGGCCCTGAAGAAGCTCCTAACCAGCTGCCCCCAGATACTCGGCTGTAGGCGCTCTGCACCTTTAAAGTTGATCCGGCGTTGTGGTTTTGCCCTGAACACCCCGGAAGGACCTTCCATTGCTGTTTCGCTCATGTAGGAACTGGGGCTCACTTGTTTTTGCAGTTATCCAGCTCATTGCTCTTTGCCCATTCCTGTGCTCATTTTTCTCCTCCCTGCAAGACTGACTTCCTCTGCTTCCTCTTGGCCCCCCTCTGCTGACTATGGAAACTCTAGTCACTCAGTCACGGCTGAGCCTGAACCCGTCCGCACCTGGGCTCCACTGCAGCTGGACCTCCCTCCCCAGCCTTGTAGACCCTGCTGACAAGACCTCCTGAGCCTGGGCAGAGCTGTCTGAGTCACAGCAGAGGAGCAGCTTTGCCCGAGCATGACTGGCAGCCAGCCACATCTTGCCTTTACTGGAGACAACCTCCTGAGGCATCCTCACCTAGTGACACCTCCCTGCTCCTAGGCACCGGCAGGGCAGGAATTTCATTTTGCAAATTCCAGGTCAAGAGCTCAAGCCAAAGCAAGTAAGCTCCTAACCAGAAGCTCCCATAGGCCAGTGTTGGTTTGTGCCCACCCCCCATGGTGGGGGTGACTGGAGAAGCCCTCTGTGTTCTCTCTGTTCTGCAGCAATCTTCAAGACTGCCCTGATTTGCATTAGGCTATTTGCACTCTTCACTGAGGTTCCAAGGGCAGGGGTGGAAAGAGCAGGTTGTAAATCCCCAAGGTTCCAGTGGGAAGGAGGAGAAAGTGTAATGTAGGGTTTATATGAGGTGCCCCCTTATCTGAGGGGAATACTTCCAGGACCACCCATCCCTATGCCTGAAACCACAGGTAGTACTGAATCCTATACATATAGTGTTCTTCCTGTATATACATAACACATACTCAAATTTAATGTTTTTGTTTTTTTTTCATTTTAACTTGGTCTCTGTTTATCACACACTGTGGCCATAACTTTTGCCATTTGAGGTGTGATAGCAAAACTAATGTTTCTTTTTCCTTCATCACAATTTCAGGGACTGAAAATTCACCGATGCTATAGATTTTCATAGCCTTGGCATATGAGCTCCTTTAAGTTCAGAACTTTTATCTTTTCACTGAAATGAAGCACTTCACTGCTTTGTTTTGGCAGATCTTTACTGCCAGCCATTATTACTCTTACACTTTGGAGCCGTTATCAATTAAGTCAGACTTACTTGCCCACAAGCACTGTGATAGCATGATAGTCATCTGATGAGGATTCATGGGAGGGTAGCATATACAAGGTGGATATTCTGGGAAAATGCATGGTTCATATCCTGGTCAGGAAAGAGTAGAAAAGCATGAGATTTCAACACACTTCTCAGAATGATTATAGTTTAAAAATTATGGATTGTTTATTTCTGGAAATTTTCATTTACTATTTTCAGACCATAGTTGGCTGTAATTAGATGAAACCTTTGAAAGTGGAATCATGGATGGGAGTGGGAGGATACTATACTGTAAGACAGTACTTCCGACTTTAATGTGGGTGGTGTTAAGATACAGATTCTGGGGCCAGGGATGTAGCTCAGTAGTTCCGTCGCCTACCTCACACACAAGGACCAGAGTTTGATCCCTGGTACAAAAAAAAAATGCCCACAAGCACTGTGATAGCATGATAGTCATCTGATGAGGATTCATGGGAGGGTAGCATATACAAGGTGGATATTCTGGGAAAATGCATGGTTCATATCCTGGTCAGGAAAGAGTAGAAAAGCATGAGATTTCAACACACTTCTCAGAATGATTATAGTTTAAAAATTATGGATTGTTTATTTCTGGAAATTTTCATTTACTATTTTCAGACCATAGTTGGCTGTAATTAGATGAAACCTTTGAAAGTGGAATCATGGATGGGAGTGGGAGGATACTATACTGTAAGACAGTACTTCCGACTTTAATGTGGGTGGTGTTAAGATACAGATTCTGGGGCCAGGGATGTAGCTCAGTAGTTCCGTCGCCTACCTCACACACAAGGACCAGAGTTTGATCCCTGGTACCAAAAAAAAAAAACAGATTCTGATTGAATAGGTGTAGAGCCAGGGCTGAGATTCTGCATTTCTGACAGGTTCGTAGGAGCTATTGCAGCCCATGATCTATGAATCACGATTCGAATTGCAAGGGTTGCAAGACGTTAGCCCTTCCACTAGTCATTGGGGCCTAACGATCCATTTGTCCTGGGGGAATGGTGTGCTTTCTTTCAGTTAATCAGACTTGAAAGTGTGATACCTTATGAGGGAAACAAAGGACCTCAGTACCATGACACTGTGGGACATCATTGCTTTCTTCTTGGAGCAGGAGGCTTGATCTCCGAGAAGGTTTATGATGGCCAGACACATCGCTGTTCGGTGACAGGGCCAGCTTTGGAGCCTTCCGTTCTAACCACCAGCCTTCACTGTGTTGCAGGAAGACACAGGCATTCAACAGAATTCACTGGAGGTAGAAGACCATGTTTGATTTGGGATTATTTTGATTTCGTGTGATGGAAAAACAGCTGAACAGGACTTAAAGGAAAATGATTTCTTCATGGACTCATAAGGCTGCAAAAGCCCAGAAATAAAGGCTCCCTGCACAGTGGGGCCCAAGGGTCTGTGTCCTGCAGTTGTCTTCCTCAGGCAGCCCCCGCCCCAGCGGTGGGGAGTTGGCACTGCAGGTGTGATCCCCGCCCGGCAGCCCTTGAGGCAGGGTAAGACTCCTCCCCATGGTCCCAGCAAGCCCCTCTGCCCTTCAGTGGCTTGGGTTAAGTCATTTGTTCATCAGAGAACCAGTCTCTGGTTGTGGCTGGGGTGGTTCGTGAAGCAGTCTGACCATCTCGGGCCTGCATGGTGCACACCCTGGAACCAAGGGTGAGGTTTGTCCACACCTTGGCCCTGAGCACCAGTGGATGAAAGGTTTGGCCCGCAGGGTCAGCAGGGCCCTGCCACCAGTAAGAGGAGTGTCCAGCAGACTGACCTAGGTGTCCACCACAGGTGTCCACCACCTCCTTCCTGCAGGCCTGGTGGCTGGGGCTGGGCGGGAGAAGAACGGAGACAGTTGCAGGCTCCATGGGGCAGGGCATGGAGGAAAGTTGACCTAAATCTCCTCTCCGTTCCAGGAAGGCCATGGCCCTGCCACTCTTCCGGGTGTGTCTGGTGGTGGTGACGGCCATCGTCAACCACCCACTGCTGTTCCCGCGGGAGAACACCACTGTCCCCGAGAGCGAGGAGGAGATCATGCGCAAGATGCGGGCCCACCAGGAGAAGCTGCAGCTGGAGCAGCTGCGCCTGGAGGAGGAGGTGGCCCGGCTGGCTGCTGAGAAGGAGGCCCTGGAGCAGGCAGCCGAGAAGGATCGGCAGCAGCACGAGACCCACGCTGCCTGGGACCTATGGAGCACGCTGTGCATGATCCTCTTCCTCATCATCGAGGTGTGGCGGCAGGACCACCAGGACGCGCCCCCGCCCGACAGCCTGGGCAGCGAGGAGGATGAGCTGCCTGCGCTGGGAGGGGCCCCACTGCGGGACCTCTCACTGCCCAGCAAGGCCGAGCTCGGGCACTTCTACGACCGCTGCATCCGGGCAGCCACAGCTGACGCCGCCCGTACCAGGGAGTTCGTGGAAGGCTTCGTGGATGACCTGCTGGGAGCCCTGAGGAGCCTCTGCGGCCGGGACGTGGACATGGAGGTGGAGGACTTCGTCGGCGTGGACAGCATGTACGAGGGCTGGCAGGCAGATCGGCCTCTGCGGTGCCACCTGTTTGTGCCCTTCACACCCCCCAAGCCCTACCGTTTCCACCCCGAACTCTGGTGCTGCAGCCACCCCGTGCCCCTGGATCGCCAGGGCTACGGGCAGATCAAGGTGGGCCAGGTAGGGCACACCCTCGGCTGTATCTGCAGTAAGACCCCGCTCGGGGAAGACATGCTGTGCCTCCTCCACGGCCGGAGTGCCAGGGCGCCACCCAGCTGCGAGATGCCGGACCTGCTGTGTGCCCAGGAGGCCCCGTACCTGGACACCGTACAGGTCATGAAGTGGTTCCAGATGGCCCTCACCAGAGCCTGGCGCCCGATTGCCCACAAGTACGAGTTTGACCTGGCCTTCGGAGAGCTGGCCTCCCCAGGGTCCCTCAGGATCCGGTTCCGCTCGGGGAAGTGCGTGCCCTTCCATCTGACACCCGTGGTGCAGTGTGAAGACTCCGACCTGTACCTGGTACCCCCACTCTGCAGGGAGCCCTCTGGGGGTGGCCCGGCCTCCAGCACCGACTGGCTCCTGTCCTTTGCTGTCTGTGAGCGGCATTTCCTCAGGATGATGTCCAAGGCGCTGCCCGAGGGCGCCTGCCACCTCAGCTGCTTGCAGGTAGCCTCCTTCCTGCTCTCCAAGCAGCGCCGCCTGACGGGCCCCAGCGGGCTGGGCCGCTACCACCTGAAGACCACCCTGCTGCACCTCCTGCTCCTGCGGCGGGCTGCCGACTGGAAGGCCGAGCAGCTGGACGTACGCCTGCATGAACTGCTCCACTTCCTGGAGAAGAGCCTGCTTGACAAGAAGCTCCATCACTTCTTCGTGGGCAACCGCAGGGTGCCCGAGGCCATGGGACTTCCGGAGGCGGTGCTCAGGGCGGAGCCACTCAACCTCTTCCGGCCCTTTGTCCTGCAGCGCGGCCTCTACCAGAAGACCCTGGACTCCTTCTACGAGATGCTTAGGAATGCCCCGACGCTCATCAGAGAGTACTCCCTCCACGTGCCCTCTGACCACGCCGGCCTGCCCCCCAAAACTGTGGCCTTGTAGAGCATGTGGGATCTGGGCCCAGGAGGGAGGGCAGGTGTCCCACACGTGCCCCTCTGGGGCCTGCAGCCTGCAGCGGTGGAACCACGCCTGACGATGGCTTGCTTCCCTGATGGCCCTACAGGGGAAGCTGGGGAACTTCAAGGAGTGGTGCTTCACAGAGTGCTTTTGGGTCACACACAGCCTCGACAGTGACAGCTCTCTGCGGATGCTGGGCCGGAGAGAATGGAAGCGCTGATTTGCATCCCAGGTCCAATCTGTGCCTCCCATCAACATCAGATCTCCACAGATGCTGCTGCAGGGGACCCAGTGTGAAGACCCAGCAGCCTATTCCCAGGCGGCCTTGGCCCCAGCTGTTGGTAGCCAAAGCACAAATAGTGGCAGCCGTGGGATTCACAACTCGTGAGCACCTGGTGCACAGCAGTAGGGGTTGCATGGGGGTCGCTACTTCTTACACGGTTAGGAGACGTGACCCGGTCGTCGCAGCCCTGAGTGGCTCATGGGTGCTTGTGGGTAGAGAGCAAAGCTGGCCACTCTTCTCACTCAGGTGCCCCCTTCCCTCCTGCCCCTTCGTTACTGTGCTCACCCAGGTATCCTAGGTGCCATTTACGTGCCTGCCAGCTCAGTAGCCCCTTGTTTCTCTGTTCTCTCAACAGCTGGTCTCTGGCCATTAGCATGGTAGGGGAGGGCATGGGCAGATGGTGGACGCTGACCTAAGGAAGGAGGCGTGGTAACTGGGCAGGGGGTAGTGCCTGGGTCCCAGGCCCAGCTGGCAGTCCAGCCCAGTTCAGAGACAGCTGCAAAGCCCAGGCCTAAGGACCTACTGCCGTATCTGCATTGTCCTCAGGGTCCTGTGCTAGGGCAGGGTGGGCTTGGAAGCTGCCGTGGAAACCAGCTCAGTCCACTGGCCTAAGCCATTGCCCCCATTCCTCATGCTCAGGGACCTGCTTACCACACAGCCCTTGCCTGCCTGGGCTGGACCTGAAGATTCCAGCGGGGGCTGGAGACCCTCAGCAGGCCCAGAACCTGTGGCTTCATCTCCAGGCCTCCTCCCCCTTGGGGAGCCCGCTAGGGTTTCCTCTTGCACAGGGCGGGAGGAAGGGATGAGGCCATGCCTATGTTAAGCCCGCCATGTGCCCCAGCAGCATATCCAGCTGAGCCGAAGAGGGCCTGCTCCCCTACTCTGGGCACGCTCTCGCCTGGCATTTAGAAAGCTCCAGAAGGTGGGCTGTCCACCCAGGGTTAGGGGGAGGCTCGGCTGCAGACGGTGACAGGTCCTATGCCCCTCCCAAGCTCCCTGCCCTCTGGTCCACTTCCCGATGCAGGGCACTTTCTTATTTATTGAGCCCCCCATGCCCTGAGGCCAGGCCTGGGTCTCCCTAGGTGTCCCCTTTGCTTCCAAGAGGACATTCGCTGGCACATAACTGCATTCCTGATTAGACAGCTCCACGAGGGCCAGGCTGTGAGGCCCGAAGCTGCATCTGGAGCAGAAAGCAACATGGCTGTCAGTGTTCCATGCTGCCTTATTTATATTAAAGGAAGAATTGAATTCTCAAAAAGAGTAGAGATGGGCGTGCTGTTTGTTTTTACCTTGAGGAAATCTGTGAAGCTCCTAGGGCAGAGCTGGGGACAGGGCTGGGTGGATTTCCTATTGACAAGTGGAAGCTTTCACTCCCTTTTTATTCTGACACTTTGAGGAAACTTTAAAAAGTAACACAGTGAAGCATTTCTGTCTGGGTAGCTGTGCAATGCCTGCAGAGCTCCAGCAGGGTGGATCTGCACAGACCTGGCTTGGCCAGGGAAGCAGCAGGATGCTTTCTGTCTGAATTTGAAAGAGACCAGTGCTGTGACAGGCAACCCTGGCCCTGTCAGCCCTTGGGCCTTTCCCGAAGGACGCTATCTCCCCTTCCTTGGAGGACTCGTGTTCTCCCCAGCCTGTTTTCCCCATGCCGGCATCCACCCCCTCGCCCTGTAGAAGGCTCTGGGGCTGTGTTCACTGCGCCCCTGACAAGGGGAGCTCCAGAGGGCCCTCAGCCAAGAGGTTACTGTGGCTGGAGGGTGGGGGGCGCTGCAGCTTCAGAAGCTCCAGGCCCTGCGTTAGCCAGCTTTTCCTGACCGACAAATACCCACAGCAGGCTGCTGAAGAAGAAAGGAGGTTTAGCTCAGTCTTGGAGACTCAGAGTTCCAGACAGGAGCCTGTTCGCTGAGCTTCTGGTGAGAGAGGTGGATAGTTGCATCCTGTGAGGAGCTAGTGTAGGAGCAAGGCCCATCGTGAGCCAGGGAGTGGAGCTGGGGGGCTGGGCCGAGATTCTATGGCATCCCTCTTGTGTGAACTAACCAGTCTCGTGGGAAACGCCTGATTCTTTACGATGCACTGGGCCCGCCTAGTACAGGTTCACCCTCCTCCCAAAGCCACTACTCGAGGACCCAGATCTCCGGGGAACACACAACAGTCTCCCCAGAGCTCCTCCTTCGTGCCACGCTGAGGCACCAGGACGAGAACCTGGAGCCAGCTAGCAGCGGTGGCTCGTTCTCACCAGTGTTCAGGCCACCTGGAGAGCTTGCTGGCATTCCCAGGTGCTGCCTTCGACCTACGTGTGCTCAGAATCCAGACTAGAGTGGCCAGGGAGGGCTCTGTTTTTAAGGCCTTCCCTAGTGGCTGGCAGCACCCCTGTTGAAGGAAGAAAGACTCCCACTTCCTTTCCACATGGAAATTTCAAGAAAACCCAGTGGTCTGCTTTTCCTACAGGACTATTGGGAGCTAGCTAGCCCTGGGAGAGGCCGAAGGAGCCTGCAGGATTGTGTAGTCCATCAGCTCGGCCCCAGCCTCAGCTCAGCCACACTGCCGCCAGGGACGAGCGCACAGCAGACTGGGAGCATGGACTTCTAGCAGGTCCTTCACAGTTCGCAGGCATCTGTGGGAGACCCATGTGCAAGGGGCATCTAGAAGACAAAGCTAAACCGGCTGAGACCGAGACCAGGTGACCTTCCAACACTCACCTGAGAAGAGCACCATAAGAAAGACCAAAACATTGCCAGTGGGTCCCACATGACCAGGAGAACCCTTTCTCCACGTGACCCCATGGTACCCATCACTGCAGGCTCCTGGCCATGCCGGGCAACTTGCCATCTAGGAATTGGGTCCAGGACCTATACTGCAACAGCTGCCCAGGTAATCCTGGAAGTCCAAGAGCCACAGGTTCCAGAGGCAATAAGGGAAGGCCCGGCAGCAGGGGCCGCTGCCTAACAGCACTGCGGCCAGAATCGAGGGGCATGGGAGCAGCAGAGGTCGGGCCCTGTGCTTGGCTCTCACTGGGTCACTCCCAGCTGCTGGCTCCAAGTTCGTGCCTGGACTTAGGTGGGTGCCTTTGTCTTCTCTGCTTCCTGCATGAGGAAAGGGACCCTGAGAGTTCAGTGACTTGTCTGAGATCACACCGGTGTGAGGAGTGGTCAGGATTCCAGCCAGGCAGTGCCACCAGGGTGTGATCAACATACAGAACAATTTTTTTAAAAATCTATTAGCAGTGAAAGATACTGCCATTAATTGCCCTCAGAATATCCCCCGGCTCCCCACCCCTGTGCTTCACACACACAGACCCCATCGCTCCTGCTGCTGTAAAGTGTTCTGAAGACCTCAAGCGCCTTCCACTGTGATCACAAGTACAGTGCATGCTGGGTGCCTTGCAGCAGAGGCGGGCCCGGTGCCTACATGGCTCCCTGGCCTGGCACTGTGCAACTTCCGGCTCCCCCTGAAATCAAAATGAGCGTGAGAGCAAATGTTCTCAATCTGTTTTTGGCACTGTGGTACAGCCCTGGCAGCACAATTGAAGATGCAGAAGAGGACTCAGATCCGCTTCAGAGTGGCGAGTGTGTTTGAAGCAAGGGGGGTGCTTGCGGGGGATTCGTTATAATGTCTTTTGCCTTAATATTTTTCAGTTAAAACATTCACTAGATTTTTCCTAATCATGCCTCATAAGTTGAGATATACAAAGAAATCGTGGAAAATAAGGTTGAAAAGGTAAAATGGGGCTGAACCACAGAACTCCTGGGATTCGAATCTAAAGCCAGCTTGGACTCCTACAACAAACACTTGGTGAGCCCGTGGCAGTTGCTGAGTGAGATAGAATTTGATTCACCCCAAGCCAAGCTGCGCCGTGGGTCCTTGAGGACATGGTCAGTGCTGCAGGGAAGTGGGCATCTCCAGAGCAGGGCTGTGGCAAGGGAGTCCGTGAGTGTCCAGGAAATTGTCGCTCCAGCCTCCAGGGCTGGGACAGTCTCCTGCCCACCTAGTCTCTGCCTGTGGGACAGCACTGGGAGGCCGGTGCACCCTCCTCTGATGCCCCCTTGGCCCTGCCCGCCCCATGGATGAGGGATGAGGGCATCATGGGGTTAAGGTTTTGCGTCACCAGCTAAAGATCACGTGTTCTTTGGTCTAGTTTCTCGTTTTAAAAGATAAAAGCAGCCGGGAATTTAGCTCAGCGGTTTGGTGGCCTGCCTTGCAAGCGCAAAGACCTGAGTTCAATCCCCAGTACCAAAAAAAATAATAAAATAAAAGATAAAAGCAATACAGCCGGGATGAAAAAAAAGAATTTAACACTGACAGAAGTCAATTAGGACAAAAGCTCCCGATCCTGAGTTCTTGAGTCTGCTCCCCAGAGAAGAGAATTACGTTTCTTGTATGTCCTTCCAGAATTTTTCTGTATATATGCCTCACCTCTGTGTGTGTCTCCCCTTTTTTGGTTTTGCTTTTACATAAGTGGCTTCACACCGTCTAACTGTCCTTGGACGTCACTTGGGGACATTTGGCTCTGCCTTACTGTAAAACAGCTGCTCACTTCCTTGCTGAGGGCCTGCAGTCCTCTGCTGGGGGCATTCTAGTTGTCCCCCTCCTTTCCTGTTACAAACAACACTGCATCAGACATCTGTGAGCACAGACTGTTTGAAGCAGCCCTTCCTCTCCTGGTGGTCCCTACATGCTTAGCAACATGCTGTATGTAAAGTGGCCACCAAGCACCTTCCCATCAGAGAAACTGGCAAGGGTTTAGGCAGTCAGGGCTCAAGAGTAAGGAAAAGGCATCTGGCCAGGTGCTGAGGACAGAGGTGCTCCACGCCCTCCTGGTCACTCTCGGGTCAGGCACTGTGTAGAGAGCGCCTGTGTAAGACAGACTCTGTCCCCAGGGGGCTGGCTCTGCAGAGTACCCCAGAGACCATGAGGGGCAGAAGCTGAAAGTGAGTTTATGCAGCTGAGGCCTGCGCAAGGAGAATGTGCGGACAGCCGGGTGAGCTTTGGAGCTTTGCGTTTGAGCCGTCAGTCTTTCTCTTATACTCGCAGAAATGGGAAACACCTCCCTCAGAATCCCCAGTCCCCCACTGTTCTGTCTCCCCAGCACTTGTACTGATCCTGGGCTGGTCTACTTCCTCCTGTGCAGGGTGAGCCTTGCTTTCTAGGTACAAGTAGCGTTGGCTATCCCTCTAATGCTGCTCTCCAGCCTCACAAATAAACCAGAAATAAAACCCAACAGACGGAGTGCGGTAACCTCAGAAGCAGTTCTTTCTCCATGGGAAGAGAGGTTTTAAAAGTTCAGAGTGATATTTCCAAGACCAGTATGGAGACAGCAGGAGTTTGGTTCCATTTGTTTCTTTAAAACCATTAGTGATATTTTTGGTTTCTCTTGGGCAACTTTATTTAAAATAGAAATAGAAAGCAAAGATCTACTTCCTGTTTCCCTCACCAGCCACCCTGGGCTGCATTCCCAGCCCCCACAGCCCCTCTGCTCACCTGCTCCTGGAAGGGACCAGCAGGCTCTGGAGTCTGTGCCTCCCCAAATTCCAGCTCTGCCCATTACCACCCACGTGACATCTGTGTAAGTGACGCCACCCTGGAGCCTCAGTTTGTTCATCTGTAAAATGGGAGCAATTAGGGCTTGCCTCAAGGTTGTGAACAATTATATGTAGCCAGGCATGGGGAGACAACCTTGTGATCCCAGCACTCAGGAGGCTGAGACAGGAGGATTGCAAGTTGGAGCTCAGCCTGGGCGACTTAATAACTTATCGAGACCCTGTCTCAAAAAACAAAAATAGATGGCTGGGGACATTGTTCAGCATGATGGCCCTGGGGTCGACCCCCAATAGGGAAACAAAATAGAGTTCTGATAAGAAATCAAAGCAGACTGGTCAAACCTCGGCAGAGTGTATCCTGGCTCTCCCCACCGAGCAGCCCAGTCCCCTCCATCAAGGAGCCGTGACTGACAAAGGATGCAGCTGAAAGAGAAAGCAAGGGAGAGGCCACTGCCAAGGCAGCCCCAGCAGGCAGCCTGCAGCCCTGAAGGGGAGCTCTGGCCTATGACTGACAGTATACACCCAGTCCCCTGTACCTCTCAAAGCCACTTCTGTTGGCGGAGGTCAGAGAATGGGAGAACCAGAAGGGGTTTCGGGAACACCCAGTCACCGTCCCTGCCACCACCACCGTCCCAGTCACAGATACCTCCCACCTCCCCCATCCGGACAGAACCAGACTCAGCCAGCTGGGCTCCAGTTCAGAGCCTCAGAGGAGGCCGCACAACCCCTGCCACTGATGCTAACGTGCTCTATGACGGTGAGGTCTGAAACACTGTGGTTTCAACTCATTCTTCCTTTTTCAGTCTGCAGGAGATACAGCTCCTGCCCTCAGCCTCAAGCTTCTAACACCTGTGTTCAAAGTGGTTGTCTTGGAGACGTAAGATCAGAGCAGGTTTCCTGTTTTATATTTGTGTACTTTTTAACCAGTGGTATTATTTCTGCCCCCAGGCTCCCAGTGAAAGCTCTTTGTGGAGCATTATTTAAATGTTTTTCTTTCCTATAGGTTGAGTTCTAGATCCATGCAGAAATCAGGGACAATTTCCTCTGTGGGTCAGGCAGGCAGCATAAAGACGTTCAGAGGTGAGCTGGGCATGGTGGTCTAATCCCAGCACCCTAGGAGGCTAAAGTAGGAGGATCACAAACTCAAGCCCAGCCTGGGCAACTTGGTGACTTGGTGAGACTGTCTAAAAATAAAAATATGGGCTTGGGGATTTAGTTCGGTGGTGCCGCGCCTGCCTCGCAAGTGCGAGGTCCCGAGTTCAATCCCGGTACTGCAAAATAATAAGTAAATAAAATAAAATAAAAAATAAGAAAGGGCTAGAAGCGTAGCTCAGTGCAAAGGCCCGGGGCTCATTAACCAGTACCAAAAAACAAAAAGAGCGAGGAGGAAGTGACAGCAGTGCAAGTGACCAGGACCCTGGCAGCCTGTGGAGGACACACTGCCCACGTGGCCTGTAGACCCCACACTGGGCCCTGGACCACCATCCTGTACTCTCTCCGTGAGCACTTCTCCACCCCCCCTTTCTTATTTCTAGATAAGCACAAGGAGCCCCAGAAGAAGAGAATGCTTTTATTTCCGGGACCCAGAGATGCCCTTTTCTGTGTCGTCCACAGCAGTTTGGGTCCTGCACCAAACACTGGCGAGCACACAGGTTTTAAAGCTGTAAAGTTAAGTCCTAGGACAGGCACCAGAGGTGGGCCCCTCTCTCCACCACGGATCCCAGGACTCCGCCATTCACTCCGCATCGCTCAGGTGCCATGGCAACGGGACTGCACATCCAGAGCAGAGGGTGCTGCAGCCAGCCTGGCACATGGCGTCTCTCCTGCCAGGTCCCCTCACCACACAGCTTGTTTCTGTCCAGCTGGCAGGGAGGAGCACCTGGTAACTACACAGGGCACAACACAGAGGACACAGTGGGCAGGAGGGCCTGGCAGAGATGGGAGAGAGGAGGCTGGGCAGGCTGCGCTAGAGACAGAAGCAGGGCACACAGACAGGCAAAACACCACGTGTGCTGCTGCTTGGCCTCCACAGAGCTGAGGGGCTGGGAAAACTCAGGGAGAAGAGAGCCAAAATCGCCACAGGCTGATCACAAGACACAAGCCTCTGGGGGAGGCGGGGAAGCTGCCGTGCACCAGCCATCCTGCTTGGCTGTCCCTTGTCTTGCTGTCTTCAGGGTCCACCTCTCCCCAGTCAAGCTCACAGAGGGGCCACATCAGAGCCAGGCCAGGCACTGTCACCAGACAAGCAGCTCACAACCAGGGCGAGGAAACACTGAGGTGCTCCCAGGGAGAAAGGGCCACGTCTTTGTCACCCCCATCCCCATCAGCCCGGTGTTTAGTACCCAGCAGGCTTCTGTGGGATGGACAGAAAGAAGATGCGATGTGAATCCAGCAGTGACCTTGCCGGGGACTTTTCAAGGCAGGATGCCGGTGACAGAACGTTTGTTTTGTGAGATATCCTGAGTGCTGGCAGTACCGGTGCAGTTCTGACGTAGTTAGTCCAGGGTGATACACGGGTGTTTCATTTCCTGCTTTAGAATTCTTTCCAGTCACAAGGCCCTCAGTGTCTCCCGGGCCCTGGCCAAAGTCTGGCTGGGAATGACGCTCCTGCCCACCCACACAGAGCGTGGTCACTCGCCTGGAGGACCAGGGGTCTCCCCCTACCTCTTCGCACGTTTTCCTCTCCTCCAGGAGGTTCTTGAGGAGTGCTATCTGGAGTGACAGATGCTCCTGCTAGGCAGGACTGGCGCCCCACACCAGCCTGTCACCATCACCAGTAACCTGGAGGTGGAACTGGGCCAAAGGCAGAAGAAGGAGCAGGAGGGCTCCCAAAACAAGACCCCATGGGCTGGAGGCATCTGACAAGTAAAGGACTACCAGAAACAGCACATTTTGGGGGTTTGTTTTTAAGAACCTCAAAGAAAAGCAACAGAGACAAACTGACCGTCACTAAGATGATCTCTAATGCAGGCAGAACCATAACATGCTGGGAAGCCTGGATGGCTGAGCAGGGACCAGGAGACTCAGCAAATAAGCCCAAAATCAAAGGCATTGGGGCTGTCCTGGAAATAGAGATTCAAGAAGCCCAGAAAAATCTGCTTATCTATGAGCAGTGCGCAGACTGTGGGGTCCCGCTTCATGGCTGCCGTCCAGAGCTGCAGCTTCGGGGTGTGGTCTACACAGCTGCAAGACAGAAGGTGGGGTCAGGGGTCAGAGGTCAGCACCACTCACCCCAAGGCCCTAGGAAAAGGGGTGGACCTTGCCTTTCAGACTGGCAAAAGCTAAAAATGGGCATGTCTGAGAATAGTGTCATGGTCACTATGGAGGAAAGGCCTGTTTGGGAGCCGCCGTCTGTGTCCTGATGCAGAGGTGACACTCCTACGGACGCAGGCCTCGGGGAAATAAGGTGTCTGCGCTTCACTGCTGACCGACACGCAGCCCTCGGAGGCAAAGGGTCCCCCACAGGTTCTACTTCAGGGGTTTGACAAAGACAAGTAGTTTCCAAAATGTATTTTCAGTGGATGAAAGTCAGGATACCTTGAAATAGTGGGGCCGAGGACCCTTCTGAAGGGAGTTAGGCGCAGGGCCTGCAGAGCAGCCTGCTAAGCCCACCACCCAGCCTACCTTGGTGCTCTCACTTTGGAGGAACAGGCTCTTGTAAATGACATGTTTGAAAGACTTAAAGCCCCACATATATTACATCTGAGCTGCAGAGCCAATTTCCAAATGCCAGGAATGTCCCGCACCCCTGCGGCCAGCTGGGATTAGTGCAGGCTCAGCAGGCCTCCGTCCTCTCCTCTGAGCTGAGGTAACAAAGCTCTGTCCGGTGGGGTCTGGTTTGTGCCTAGACGTCCCCTAAAGCTTCACCCACTCATAGGCGGGGCTCTGGGGTTGTGATTGGACATGGGGTGTGACACTCAAGGTGGATTAGGCCACTTGTGAGTCCAAAGCTCCTGTGAGGCTAGGAGGGGAAGCCTGGACTGAGGAGGTGGCTGAGGGGCATTCTCTGTCCTTTGTCACCGTCACCATGACATGAAGGTCCTTCTCCTCTGCCACGCTGCCCTGCCTGCGAACCAGCCAATTAGGGACCTAAAGCCCTGTAAGACTGGGAACTAAAATAAACCTTTCGTCTTTTAACTTGCAGGTGTCTTGCAGTGTTTTGTCCAGCAAGGAGGGAAGTCACTAAGACACCTGCCCAGGACCCTACACGGCCACTTCATCTGCTTTAACTGTCCAGTCCTTTCCATGGTGTGTGGCTGCCATTTTGTTTGTACCTCCAAGCAAGATATATGATTTTTAAAGTCTTTTTTTAAGGGTGTTCTGGGAGAATACACCTGAAGAAAGTGACGCTGGACTCGGTATTGGGTCGCCGAGTGGCACAGCAGAACCAGAGAGAGCCTGCGTGCGGGGGCCGGGGAGGACACAGCTGAGGAGCTGGGAGCTTTGTCCACAGGGTCGGGTCACAGGAGTGCAGGTCCCAGGGAGTCTGCTCAATGCGGGACAAGCCCAGGCGTCTTGAGCAGAAAGTACACACCGGTGGCCTAAACACCTGGTTCCAGTTCATTCCACATTCACCCTGAGACGTGTTCTAGGTGGCTAAGCACACAGACGGTTTGAGTCACTGTCACTCTGTGCAGTTCCAACTTACTCAGCGATGCCATACACATCCAGCCGCTCGAACCAGGGCCAGAAGAGGTAATCGACCATGGTTACGTGGTCTCCGCCAAAGAAGGTGGTGTTCTGATAGCTAAGGATCTAGAATCGCAAACAGGAAAAGAGCAAGTTAATGCACATACCTGAGACGCATTTATAGAGATACGAAATACAAATACTGGATTAAATCCCGGAGAGGCAGGATGAAGGCTTCGATTTGTCCTGTTTTTAGCAGACTGCTTCTCCCCCTCCCCTGAAGTTTCTGCCACCTCCTTACAGGGAGTGCTCCGCGCATGCTCCACACATGTTCTGGCGCTGGCAGAGGGGGGCAGTGCCTTACTCGCTGTGGCCAGTGCTGCCCCTTCCTGGTTGAGGAGCTTCGGGCTGACGCCGAGGCCAGCACTCAGATCCCCAGTCGCTGTGCTGCGGCCCCCACTGCCCTGAGTGTTCTCCTTCTACAATAAAGGGGAAGCTGCAGCCTCCACAGCAGTCAGGGCTGTGCCGTAGTGAGCCCCCTCCTGCCCTAACTGTCTTCACCAAGCTTCCTTCTTTGAGTTCGTTGCATTTCGCATTTGTTACCCACTCAACAGTATCAACTTTTTACGTCAAAGTACAATTTCTTTTTCTCATTGGGGACAAATCAACCCATTTCCATGGACTGTAAAGAAAACACATAAAGTCTCAGCAGACACCCAGCCAAAGACAGCCGAAAGAAAGGTCTGAATTTTTTTTTAAAAAAAGCAGAAGTGCTTGGTAGGGTTATTGCTGGGCCAGGCTTCCCAGAAAGTGCCAATTTCCTAGTTAAATCAAGCAAAGTGCTCACCTCAGTCTCTAATTCATAGCCCGCCAGACGCTTCCCCCCAAACGTTTGGCTGGCGAGGCACTTTGAGAAGCTGAGGCTCTCGTGAGGGGCAGAGGTTACCGAGAGCCAGGTGGGAATGACAGTGGCAGGGGACTCTGTGGTCTTGGCCCGAGGGAGGAGGGTGCTGTGTGGCCAGCAGCCCGGTTCTCTGCGGGCTCTGACTCTGATGAAGCCCGGGCAGCCTGCCTCCCCTGCTCCAGGCCTCGGTGTCCTGGTCTGCTGAGTGGTGGTGATGTTCACTCCTGTCCCAGAGACGGTGGCAGAGCGCTAGGAGGAACGGGCAGCCCCACCGCCCAGGGAGTGCGGGTCACGTGACGGGTCACGTGACAAGCAAGGGCAGCCTCCGGAAGGCTACATCCACCGGAAGTCAGTTCTTCCCACTGAAGTCCAGCCACCACCCGGAAGGAAGGCAGGCTTTGCTGCCTGGAAGTTAATCCTTCTATTTCCAGTGCGGTATGGAGGGAGTCCCCACGATCATCGTTGTCTTGTAAGGCTGAAAAATGTTGGCGACCCTTGTTTTAAAAAAGCTAAGAGGGTGCTATGGTTTACATGTAGACGACCCCAAAGCCTCATGCACTCTGAGGTGGGGCGTCTGGGCGGGACTGCATCATGGGGGAGTTGGCGCTCAGTCGGTCAGTCCACTGGAGTTCGGCTGAGAGGTGAGGCCGGGTTGGAGGGGAGCGGTTCCCACCCTCATCTCCTCTGCTTCCTGTCTGCCATGGCTGAGCAGACCCCAGGGCCCCGCTGAAGCCTCTGCAGACTGCAAGCCAGAATAGGCCTCTCCTGCTCACAGTTTTGAGCGTCAGAGATCGCGTCGCAAGTGATGAGAGAGTAACTAGGCAGAGAGCAGTGGGATGCAGCTCAGGGAAGCACTGCTGGCCCAGTGTGTGAGGCCTCCGGGCCAAGCCTCCATAGCGCGCACGCACGCAGCAGTTAACAGAACAGCACCAAGATAGAAAATATGAACAATGAAAACTTAGCACAGAGGCTGCTTTTTTTGTTTGTTTGTTTAAACTCACTGTGTGACCCTGGCTGGCCTCCAACTCATGGTGACCCTCCTGCCTCAGCCTCCTGAATGCTGGGATTAGAGAGTGTGCCACCATGCCTGGCTACAGAGGCTGTTTTAATCACATATAAATAAGATCTGGCTTGGAGAGGAAAGGGGCAAATAATTCCATGTCTCCAGGTTGCAGCAGGCCCTAAACGTCCTGCGTGTTCAGGAATAGATCATAATCACTGACGTTGAAATGTACATCTGAGGCTCCTTACTGGATGTCATGGCACAAACGAGAAGCAAATCTAAACTGGTGGCCCTGGAACATCGGTGCAACTCCTGCTTTACAGAGCTTGGGAGTTCCTGAGAGTCCCTGACAAAGCAGTTGTAACTTTCCACCATAGCCCAAGCTGCATTTCCCAGACTCAAGTACTTCAACTCTGCTCTCCACCCTCCTTTCGTCTTTACTAGGTCCAGTTCCTCTGCGGAGTCACTTTCTCACCTACTCTTCAATTCTGCTTTCTAAAACAAACTGCCAAAAAAGCGAAAGTCCTTGTCCAGGCAGGTCAGCCGCAGACACTTAGGGGACCCATGGTGAGTCAGTCCTTCCGTGAGGGGATGATTTTGAAAAGGAGTGACTACTTAGTAACACTTGCTTACATATATTTCTAAAACTTTCCCCTTATTCACAGTAGGTGCACAGCTTTAAATATATGTGATGTTACAGAAACGATCAATGTCAGCACCCACGCCGTAAAGTACGCTGTGGCACACCTCTCAAGTGCAGTAAGAGGTCAGCATGAGGACGTGGGTGAATGAGGCTGACTCCTTCACAGCCCCACACAGCTAGACACAGCCCCCAGATGCTCTCAGAGCCGCTGGGGACTTGGGACCCCACGGTGCAACCACCCAGAGTTCTCAATCCTGCTATTGTGGATTGCAGCTCACTGCCCCAGACAGTCTTTCTTCACCAGGTCTGAAAATCCCTGCAGAAAAGCCACCTCCCTGCAAACGGCACAAAGCGCTGTGCCTTTATCCACATCCCAGACCGCAGGCAGCTCCTGTCTGAGCCTCCCTGAGGGCCACGGTTCGGTCTCAAGGGCTCCGGGCAGAACAGCTCCTCGCACGCAAACCTGGCACCCAGGCAAAATTGCTTTCTATTTCAAATGCCAGATTCCAGAGGGAGATATTTTGTGAAAAGGCATTTGATGTCCTAGAATATTAGAAAATTCTATTTTTAAATGTTCTGTTCTCAACATCCCTAAAAAATAAGGCTGAGGGTTAACTAGGGAGCACTGCCAATAAGAGAAATCGTTTGATATGATGAAGGTACACTAGTCCCATCACCCCACACCAGCAAAGCCTGGCTGGAAAGGCCCCTGTTGTCTGCCAAGCCTCTCCAACATTCACAGAGAGACCAGAGGAGACAGTGGCACCTTGAGATTGGCACAAATGTGTAAAGAAGGAAGAAGCACGCAGGGCTCCCCCTGGTGGCCAATAGTGGTGAGGCGCAGTGGTGGTGGCTCCTTCCAGATTTAAGAGGAAAAATTAATCTATCAAGTTCTTGAAAAACAAAGTCATAAATAGAACCCTAGACTTCTTTAAAGCCGGGGTTCAAAAAAAAAATCCAGCCTAAGATCTTGAGCTCTCAGGTTCAGCCTTAGTACTCGGGCTTCACACCTTGAAGCCGACGCCTGCCCTTCCCATTGGCCTTGAAATGAGGGCCTCCAAGCCCGAAGCAGACGGTGGCTCCCAGAAGCACTGCAGTGCTCCCCGGAGGGAGAAGACAATGCTTTTTCTTGTTGGAAATAATTATTAGGGAGCAAGCTCCCACCTCACCCCAAGACACAAAGCCAGCCGCGCCCAAGCAGTAGAATACAAGCTGCCACAAAGTACTCAGCTCCAGGAAGGGCTGCTTCGGAGTTCAAAAATTCTGAGAGGTGGTCACGGTTTCAGGTTTCAGGTCTGAGCATGAGGTAAGCAGAGTCCTCCCGGCAGGAGGAACCGCTTCTCCTGTAGGAAGGAGGCTTAGCAAGAGGGGTCGGTGGCAGATCGGGCCCTCCCTCTGCAGGTCCCTCTGACCCAGGCGTCCCGTGAGGATGCAGAACGCAGCCTGTGAGCATGTGAGGAGTAAAGGGTCGCCAAACTTGCTGCGGGGGCTCACTTTCAGTGGGCTTGATTCTTTTGCTCCAAACTTAGTTGTAGGGAGTCTGGTAAAGCTCAGCCCGTCAGTTCTCCGTGGTGGTGGGCGGTGGATGTGAATGGGAATGAATACTGACCACGTGTCTGAAGAGGGAGAGGACGCCTTACGCATAAAAGCAGCAGAAGGAGGCACAATGGCAAAGGCGGCCAGCACGGTATTTTTAAATGTCACACTTCATCCACAAAAGAGATGAGCTAAATTAAAATTTAAAATGAAAAAAAAATGTCAAGTAGATTTTATACATGCAGAACTCTTTAAAAAGAACATTTATAGGTCTGGGGATTTAGCTCAGTGGTTCCACTGCCTGCCTCACAAGCAGAAGGTCCCGAGTTTGATCCCTGGTACCAAAAAAAAGGAACATTTAGAAATCATTGGGGAAAATCAGTAAGGCCCTGGGAGGCAGACCGGCGAAAGACCAAACACAGAGATGGCATACAGTACTTTGGGGGAGCCTCAGACTTCAATAGCAACCAAACACAAGCCAGAGATGGTGCAGTGACTGAGCATTTGCCCAGCGTGTGTGAGGCCCTGGGTTCGATCCCCAGCATGACCAAAAACAATTAAATCAGCAAGGAGAAGCTGTCCATTGTTTATTTCTCTAGAACAAGCAAGTATCTTTTTGAATGAACTATCAAAAAGAGACAGTGCAAAGGACACATTCACACTGCCGGGCGGGGCATACGCACGAGAAGCCTTTGGGAAAGCAATTTAGTAACGCACAGCACAGACCCCAAAGCGTTCTGACCCTTGGAACTGGGAATGCCATTCCTGAGAGCCTGGCCACGGACAGGAAGAAATGGTTTTACGCCAAAAGCTGCTGTTCCCTGCAGCATCATTTCTAAGAAACAACCCAAGCACCCCCAAGCCAGTGTGCTACCCAAACAGCTTCATGGTTGCATGTGTAGCAAATTAGGCGGACACTAAAGGTGGTTTGTGTTTCCAGCTGGGTGCCCTGGCACACGCCTGTAATCCCTGCACGCTGGGAAACTGGAGCTGCAGGACCGCAGGTTCAAGTCCGGCCTGGGAAATTTAGCAACTTAGCAAGACCCTGTCTCAAAATTAAAAAAAAAAAAAAAAAA